AGATACAAGGAGGGTTAATGTTCGAGTTACAGTTAGTGTTATAGTGAGGGTTAGGTTGGGATTACAGGGATAATTGGTGTTGGGGTTACAAAGAGGATTAGTATGTGAGTTAGTGTTAGAGTTACAGAGAGGGTTAGTGTTAGAGTTACAGTGAAGTGCTAGCGAGTCCCAAGGAAAGCTTAGTATTAGGATTTTAGGGAGGGTTAGTGTAAGGGTTACAAGGAAGACTTAATGTGAGGGTTAGTGTTAGGATTTCAGGGAAAGCTATTGTTGGGGCTACAGGTAGTGGTATTATAAAGGTTAGTGTTAAGGTTACAGAAAGGATTAGCATGTGAGTTAGTGTAAGAGTTACAGGGAGGGTTAGTGTTTTCATTTACAATGACATGATAGCGATAGAGTCACAAGGGAAGCTTAGTCTTAGGATAATAGAGAGAATTAGTGTAAGGGTTACAAAGAAGATAAAATATGAGGGTTAGTGTTAGGATTTCAGGGAAAGCTATTATTGGGGTTATAGGTAATGTTATTGTGAGGGTTAGTGTTAGGATTACATGGAGGATTAGTATGTAAGTGTTAGAGTTACAGGAAAAGTTAGCACTCAGGTTACAGTGGAGAGTTAGTGTTAGGGTTACAGAAAAGTGTTACAGTGAGGGTTAGTGTCAGGAATACAGTGAGGGCCAGTGTTGGGGTTACATTTAGTGTTATTGTGAGGGTTAATGTTAGGTTTACAATGAGGGTTAGGGTTAGTGTTAGTATTATAGTGAGGATTATTGTGAAACAGGTCATAGAGCAAGGTGCCAAAAACCACCAACACTGGCATTTGCATTGAATGCTATTGTATCAATGAAAGGCACATAAAGTTCTACCTTATAATGAGACAGCTCTTATGTGAGCCAAACATCAACATCTCATGTGTGCATATTAGCACACTTGTGTATCCAAACAGCTGCTGGCAGCCATGGGAGCATGCATGATGGTTGTATACTAAGCAGAATAATGTTTTCCTTTTCAGACATTATACATGTGCAGATTTAAAACTGTGCTTTCAAAACTATGAGCAGAGTGGCATTGTTCAATAGATGCAAGGTCCACTTCAACTGAAAACGATGACAGACTGTTAACAAGTAGTACATTCCACCCACAGCATCCTAACTCAAACCTGATTTCTGACCACACTATCTCTGGAACCTACATTTAAAATAGTGAACATAGCATTGAAAACCACTAATTCCTAAATTAGCCCAAGCTCCATTTGATACATATCTCCATGGCATTTTGGATGCATTACTATGCATTTTGAATGCCTTTAGCATGTTTGAATAAAACCATTACAAATGTAGAACTAAACTATGTGTGTAATAAAGTAGAGTAATAGTCAATGAAATAATGTAAATGATTAGAGGATACTTGCAAATTTCATTTTCCAGTAACTTGATTTCTTTTTGGCACCGCTTGCTTAATTGTTTCCCTGTTGAAAGAGGCCATTAAACTGTTTAATGACTGTTTTGCCAGTACAGATAATACTCTGCAACTTTATGGATTGACAGGGGTATATTATTTGATGTCAATGACAATATTACATTAAAGATCACAATATTTAAAGTGAATGTCTGGGGCAAAATAAATAAATAAAAACATATCCCATATACAGTCATGGCCGAAATTGTTGGCACCCTTGATATTTCTCCAGGAAATCATGTATTTCTCACGAAACGTATTGCATTAACACATGTTTTGCTATACACATGTTTATTCCCTTTGTGTGTATTGGGACAAAACAAAAAAAGGGAGGAAAGAAAGCAAATTCGACATAATGTCACACAAACCTCCAAAAATGGGCTGGACAAAAGTATTGGCACCCTTTCACAACTGCGGATAAATAAGAATGTTACAAGCATGTGATGCTCCTGTAAACTCACCTGGGGCAAGTAACAGGTGTGGGCAATATAGAAATCACACCTGAAAGCAGATAAAAAGGAGAGACGTTCACTTAACCTTTGCATTGTGTGTCTGTCTGTGCCACACTAAGCATGGACAACAGAAAGAGGAGACGAGAACTGTCTGAGGACCTGAGAACCAAAATTGTGGCAAAATATCAACAATCTCAAGGTTACAAGTCCATCTCCAGAGAACTAGATTTGCCTTTGTCCACAGTGCGCAACATTATCAAGAAGTTTGCAACCCATGGCACTGTAGCTAATCTCCCTGGTCGTGGACGGATGAGGAAAATTGATGAAAGATTGCAACGCAGAATAGTCCGGATGGTGGATAAGCAGCCCCAAACATGTTCCAAAGACATTCAAGCTGTCCTGCAGGCTCAGGGAGCATCAGTGTCAGCGCGAACTATCCGTCGACATTTAAATGAAATGAAACGCTATGGCAGGAGACCCAGGAGGACCCCACTGCTGACACAGAGACATAAAAAAGCAAGACTACAGTTTGCCAAAATGTACTTGAGTAAGCCAAAAGCCTTCTGGGAAAACGTCTTGTGGACAGATGAGACCAAGATAGAGCTTTTCGGTAAAGCACATCATTCTACTGTTTACCGAAAACGGAATGAGGCCTACAAAGAACAAAACACAGTACCTACGGTAAAATATGGTGGAGGTTCAATGATGTTTTGGGGTTGTTTTGCTGCCTCTGGCACTGGGTGCCTTGACTGTGTGCAAGGCATCATGAAATCTGAGGATTACCAAAGGATTTTGGGTCGCACTGTAGGGCCCAGTGTCAGAAAGCTGGGTTTGCGTCCAAGATCCTGGGTCTTCCAGCAGGACAATGACCCCAAACATACGTCAAAAAGCACTCAGAAATGGATGGCAAAGAAGCGCTGGAGAGTTCTGAAGTGGCCAGCAATGAGCCCAGATCTAAATCCCATTGAACACCTGTGGAGAGATCTTAAAATTGCTGTTGGGAAAAGGTGTCCTTCCAATAAGAGAGACCTGGAGCTGTTTGCAAAGGAAGAGTGGTCCAAAATTCCGGGTGAGAGGTGTCAGAAGCTTATTGATGGTTATAGGAAGCGACTGATTTCAGTTATGTTTTCCAAAGGGTGTGCAACCAAATATTAAGTTAAGGGTGCCAATACTTTTGTCCAGCCCATTTTTGGGGTTTTGTGTGACATTATGTCATATTTGCTTTTCTGCCTCTGTTTTATATTTGTTCCAATACATACAAAGGGAATAAACATGTGTATAGCAAAACATGTGTTAATGCAATACCTTTTTTGTGTGAAATACTTGATTTTCAGGAAAAATATCAAGGGTGCCAACAATTTCGGCCATGACTGTATATCTGCAATACATGCACATTTCCCCATTTGTTGTCTCTTTATAACTGCTATGAATGCAGAAAAATACTTGTTGATCATGGCAGAAATCCAATGGGAAATCAAGCCAAGTGGGTAACATTGAATGGGACCTTAGTGCAGCAAAAGCACAATTACCTGTTCATTACAGGAACCTAGGGGATCACTGGATTTCTGACAGATCAACAGGTACGTTTCTGTACTTGCACCATTTTAAGGGAGACAAAACATCAGGGAAAGTATATGTATTGCACAGGTGTATTTTTTTTGTTGTTATTTTGCTCAGACAAAGCTTTTAAAACTAAAAACATGACCAAAAGCATAATTCAGTTGATAAATAAGGCGGCTTATATAACAGGAAAACACTAATAACCATTCAGAGCTTCCTGGGGGTGAAAATGTATACAATTCTTTCCACCTTGCTTCTTTTCCACCAGTCATCACAACCACTTCTGGGTGATCACCTTGCTCTAACCATGGTAGAGTCCAACTAAAATGCAGGCTGATAGGAAGCTCAAATAGCATGGATAGGTCTTGGTATCCATTTAGTGACCTTCATTTTAGTTACCTTCATGAGTCATTTTACCAAACTCTATCAAAATAAGAATGAATGACTGACAAACACAGCCCCTTTTAGAGTTACGTTGAATGTTAGAATGCATAAAACAACTTCCTCTGTTGTAAATGCAGAGGTAACTGTCATTTTTTACAGACAACAGAGCTGTAAAAAACAAAAGTTGCCTTTTTTTGTTGACCATTGGCTTGCTCTATCATATTAGTCATATTTTAGCAATATAGTACATGTGATACAAGTCTGGAATGTACCTGACTTCTTTGGTGTTCTTGTAAATGTTCCCTTCACAGTCCTGCAGTGAGAGTTATCTCCTCCACACACACCCCACACTTATCTTCTATTTTATTGGATCCAATTTCCTTGTCACAGCCAACTTTCTGCAATATAGGAAAAGATTGAGCAAAGCAGAATGACTAATACATCATAATAAATTGGAATGTATTTAGATATCTTCACTCATTTACATATCCAAAAGTTTGGTATATTACCTTAGAATGGGAGAGAGAAAAAAAAACAGTAAAAGGTGTGAAAACTTTGGTTGTGACTTCAAGAGTTTTCTATCATGCATCACATAATAATCACATGGTTTTGAATGGTCACAAACAGTGAAAAGAAGATCCAAATAATGCCAAAACTGCCTGTTTACCAATCCACTAGCATTCATTTAAATGGCAAATAGGTCCTTTAGAAGGCTTACTATGCCAGGTCCACATCTCACCTTCAGTAAGCTATTCACTCAAATTGAACAAAAAAACATTTGTCACTTATATAAAGATGAGGAATCACACATCCTTATGGGTGTTCTGGTCTTCACAACATAATTGTCATTATGTTATGTCAACAGTAAAATATCACATTTAATGAAAATGGAACAACTGAGGCAGAAAAAATATCTCTGACACGCATGGCTAACATAATATTTCAAACACAGGGGAGAAGGAATGTAATTTTGCAGCACACAATAATAAAACAGAATTAGTTTATCAGTAACTGCATATCAAAATAACATCAGGGGCAGCTTTCTGAATGTCGTATTACAAGTCCAGTGTAAATAAATGCAGGAATACTTACAACACACTCCCCTCTCACACATATGCTATATGGATCCTTGTAGGAGCAGCGGGTTCCATCATGTGCAAGTTGCTTCATTGATGCAATATCTCCTGTCTGTTTGGACTGGCAATAGAGTTGGCATCTTTTATTGGCTGCGAGATACACAAATTAGTAAAAAATTACATGAAAAACTAATAGTAAGGAGAGTTTTAGATTCATAAACTATTTATCTACAAAAAAAAAAGAGAATTAAGAAAATTTACTACCAAAACTATAGTGTAAAACTTTTAAAAATAGGTAAATGACAAAAACATCAGATAGTGAAAATAACTTTTAGTCTTATTAAAGAGAGTGCTAACAAAATACTTCTTGCACTGGTCAGAGTAAACTCCAATTGAAGACTATTGATTACTGAACCTAAAGTGGCTGTAATCCATTACATATACCCAGTAAAGTGATTAGCCTCACTTGATATAAAAAAAAAATTAAACAAATCCTCCTACTTATCTACCTGTCTATTTGAAGCCCTCTCTAATCTACATCCTCCTAACACATGCAAAGTCTTTTTCTGAGCAGTAGAAGGCAGGGGGCAGGGATCTGATGTCACACATGCTGCAAAGCTAGAGCACAGAGCTCAGTGAAACCTGAGTGGAGGGAATGAACACACCCTCTCTAACAGGCTCACAGGGAAAAAGACACAGCTGAGGCGTCCCTGAAGAGATACATTTTCTAAAGGCAGGCAGAGTAGGACATAGCAAGACAGATTAAGGTACAGAGTTGCAGAGCATGGGACAGGCTCTGGATTAGTCCTGGAGACCAGTATGGGAGGAGAAGACAAGAGAGCCTGAGAGCAGGAGGTCTTGGTAGGAGTGGAGAGGACAATTTGGGTGATATTTGGAGACAAGATTGGTGATGTAGCTTGGGGAAGTTTTGTGGATGGCTATTGTATTGCTTGACAAATGAAAGTCAGTAGAGGGTTTGGTAGAGAGGGGTGGCAGACACTGAGAGGTTGATAAGGTAGATCAGTCTGGTAGCAGCATTCATGATAGACTAAAGAGGGGAAGAGGGAGCCTATGGAGAAATAGGCTTATGACAAGGGAGTTGCAATAGTCAAGGTGAGAGATAACAAAGGAGTGAATGAGTAGCTTGGTGGTTTCATTAATTAAGAGGCAAATTTTAGAGATGTTATGGAGATGAAGTCTACAGGTTTTTGATAGTGATTGGATTTGGGGCTGATAGGTTGTATACAGATCAGAGTCTAGGATTACACCTAGTACCCAAGCATGAGGGGAGGGACTGAAAGTTGTATTATTTATCTTGATTTTAGTTTAAGGAAGTGATGTCACATGTTGATATGTCAGTTAGTAAATTAGCAGTGCAAGAGGACACTGAAGGAGTGAGGTGAGGAGTAGATAGATAGATTTGGGTGTCATTGGCATAGAGATGGTATTGAAACCCCTGGGAGGTTATCAAGAGAGGAAGTGTAGATATAGAGAAGGGGTCCAAGAAAAGAGCCTTGGGGGACCCCTACAGAAAGAGGAAGTCAGGAGGAGGAGATAGAGTTAAAGATAACACTGAAGGAGCACTGTGATAGGTAGGAGGAGAACCAGGAAAGAGAAGAATCTTGGAGGCCAAGGGAGTGAAGTTTATTGAGAAGGAGCGAGTGGTCAACAGTATCAAAGGCCGCAGAGAGGTATATAGTACTAAATGCGTGGAGTAGTGGCTGTTGGTTGTATCAGTTAGTAAATCATTTGCAGGTTTTAGTAGGGAAGTTTCTGTGGAGTGCTGCGAATGAAAGCCAGATTGTAAGTGGTCAAGAAGGTTGTTTGCAGTGAGGTAGTTGCTAAGACGGTTGTAGACTAAAAAAAAACAGAATATATTGATGGACTTTACTGGTACCAAGGAAAACCAATTATAGCAACAAAAAACTTTTTTTATTACACATTTAAAAAAAACATATATCTAGACTGACACCAGTCATTTAAAAAAATATATAGTTATACTCATATACACAGATCAATTCTCATCAAATAGATATTCTTCAATTCCAGTATTCCAAAGAGGTCAACGTGTTTTGCATATGTGATTCTTCAGGGCCTTCATTTAAAATTCACAGGAATATGTAGGTTTTTTTTTTTTACCACATTTGCAATTCTAAATGAATTCTAAATGCAGGTCCTGAGGAAGCACATATGAAAAATGTGTTGGCCTCTTTGGAATACTGGAATTTAAGAATATCTATTTGATTAGGAGAATTGATCTGAGTATATGAGTGATGACCATATATTGTTTTTAAATGACTGTTGTCACTCTGGATATGTGTTTTTTGAAATGTGTAATAAAAAAGTTTTTATTGCTATAATTGGTGTGTTCCTTGGTACCAGTAAAGTCCATCAATATATATTCTGTTTTGTTCTATAAATTTTGGGAAGAGATAGCAAAATGGGAATACGGTTGTAGACTAAGCATTCTAAAAGTATGGCAAGGAGACAGTTGTTAAACCATTCAGGTTGGTGGGGTCCAGTACGGACTTTTTAAGTTTGGGCGTGATCTGGGAATGCTTTAGAGGGGAGGGGAAGGTGCCAGCAGATAGGGAGAGATTGAAGATGTGAGCGAGAAAGCTTAGAATGGAAGAAGAGGGTGACCATAGTAGTTGTGAAGGATCCAGTGGGCATTTGAGAAAAGTTTGGTAACTTCTTCAGTAGTAGTTGGTCAGTAGTAATTGGTTCAAAAGAGAAAAGTGCTGAATGTGCTGTTTTTAGCAGGCAGACTGGGTAGGGGACAAAGCAGAGAGTTAAAAGTTGAGCAGAGCCACCAAGGACTGGATGACGAGGTAATAAGTTAAGTGACAAAGTAGGTTTTTTGGCAGCATGGAGGCAGAAATTGTACGTTAAGAGGGCAACTTTGTATAGGGTGAAGGCCTGCAGGAATTGGTTTTATGCCACAGTCGCTCAAGAGCATGGCAATGTCTCTTGAAATTGCTGGTGCTAAGGTTGTAAGGTTGTAACGGCCGGGACCCGATTCTGTGTGTAGTTAGAGGAGCAAGTGCATCCAGTGAGGATGAACGTGAACTATTGTAGACAGAGGTGGCCAGTCTAGAACAGGACAGGGGAGAGCTTTTGTTATAGAGGTGGTCAGTATCAGAATAGAGAAGAGGGGGGATAACGTGACTAAGGTTTCTAGAAGTAATCATGTGATGTTTGGAGGTATAGGTGGTTGAAGACAAGAACAATGTGAAACTGATGAGGATGTGATCACAGAGAGGAAAGGAATTATTGGTGAGGTTGTCAGGAGTGCAGAGGTGTAAGAATACATTGTCAAAGGTATTAGCATTGCAGTGAGCGGAAGTGTGTGCCCGTTGTGTTAGGTCAAAAGATGAGGTTAAGTTTAGAAGCTGAGATGTATCCAGGCTGTCAACATTAACAGAGATGTTAAAGTCACCAAGAATGATAGTGAGTATTACAGAGGAGAGAAAGTAGGGAAACCAGGCAGAGAAACCATCAAAAAGCTTGATACTGGTAATGGAGGTCGAAAAATCACTGCAGTCTTCAGAAAAATTGGAGAAAACAGACAAATACAGAGGGTTTCAAAAAAGGAGAGGCAGGGTCATGAGTCCATTGGAGGCCACCATGGGAGAGGGCAGTAGGAGAAGCTGAGTAAGAATCTTGAACTCAGGTTTCAGTAATGGCAAGTATGTTAAAGCAATGTGAGATAAAAAGGTCAGATGTGAACTTGTTACAGTCAGAGCAGGCACATGGGATTGGGGGTTTTTGGAAGCAGAGGAATAGAAATTAAACTAAGTGAGGCTGTTGCCGGAGGAGAATAGTGCCAGATATGGGGGTTGCAGTTGTAAAATGGAGGGTCAGGATTGGGGGAAATGTCCCCAGATATTAGAAAAAGGAGGGTGAGGAAAGCCAGATGGGAGCAGGATGTATATGAGCGCACATACCTCACTGTCCTGGTGTTTAGGTCAACATGTGGTTTCAGAATTTACAGGAGGTGATGGGTGCAGTAATAGGGAGAGGGTAGGAGTGAGGGTGATATATACAGTATAGGCTGTGGGGTGGAGAGGAGGGGTCAATTAAGGACAGAGAACACTAATGGGAGAAGGAGGAGTAGAGGGAGCATTAGATGGAAAAGATAGTGGGAATCAGACTTCACTTCAAGAAATAATTTACAAAATGTTGGTTTGCTTGAAGTCTTTCCAACGTGAAGCAAAGTTTTTCTTGTTGTATTTTCATACTGTTTTAGTTATCCTGCTGCCCTTAGTTAGCCCCAGGAGACCTTTGAGGAAGGACTCTGCAAACTTGGCTTGGTGATCCCCTTCAGCCCCTTCTGGTAAGCCCTGAACTCGGATATTTTTCTGGTGGAGCTGGTTCTTCGCTTCATCCAATTTGACTACAAGGTTTTGCACTGTGTGTTGCAGACAGTGTAGAGGTAATGCTGGGTGGTGGTATCCTCCGTGGCTGAGATGCGGGATTTTGTCTCGAACAGGTATCCATGGATTTTGTCAAGATCATTGTGATCAAATTGCATTCCTCAGCCAGTTTATCAATTTGGATAAGTAATGAGGAATTACTTTATTCAATAGCGGTAAGGATGATGGTCGTGTTGTCTGCTTGGAATGGCTCAGGAGAAGGAGTAGTCAGATCTGGGTTGTCTGTCACCTCCAATGAACATGGTGCACAGGGCTGAGGCATCAATCTGCTTCTTTCCAGGTGGCAGAGTGGAGGAACATCTCTTGGATGGCATGTGCCAGAGTGTAGCAACAGCCTTCCCAAGGGGTCTGGAGCTGGGCAGAATGATCATTATCAAGGAGGAAGGTAAGGATGGCTCAGAATTCCGGGAGCTCCACAGGCAAGCTTCCACACCATTTTACATTCCAGCTATGCCCTTAGGAAGGACGGATTCTTTAAAGTGATATTAAACGCTCATATTTTTTAAAAGAAATTTAAGCAGCTGATTTAAGCATTTGCTGAATATGTTCTTCAACTTTTAATTTATGTTTTTGTTCCTGTTTAAGCTGGAGCCTTGACTACTGCCAAAAGTTTCCTTTGTCATAGTGGATCCTTTCTCTTGCAACATCTTATGGAGTCGATCTTGGATGCAGGGACTAGAGCTGTGCCTCCCTACAGTGTGTGCATCAATAGAA